ATGCACTGATGCAATCTCAGTTCACTGCAGCCTCCAACTCCCAGGTTCAAGTGATTCTCCTGTCTTAGCTACCTGAGTAGCTAGGACTACAGGCACATGCTACCATGCCCGGCTAATTTTTGTATTTTTAGTAAAGATGGGGTTTCGCTATGTTGGTCAGACTGGTCTCAAACTCCTGACCTCAGGTGATCTGCCTGCCTTGTCCTCTCAGAGTGCTGGGATTACAGGCGTGAGCCACCCACTGTTCCTGGTCTACATGGGTTATTTTCTGAGGTAACTTCTGTAATGTTACACAACTTGTGGCAATATTTATAGGGATTTTCTTCAGTTTAGACTGTACAAATGTTTAAGCAGTCTAATGTTTTTATTTTAGGAATTGGTTTTTGAGATTCTGTAGCACTTGAGTACTGTTTCTAGAGGGTGTTAACGATTTTTAGGGTGTCCCAGTCATGCAATATTGGCTCAGTGAATGGATGAATGAACTTAGGTGAATGTATGTGTGTGTGGGTAGGGAGTGGGGGCATTGTACTGTAATGAAAGTGGAAATGTAAAAAATATCATCTTAGCTTGTTTATGGAAGGATCATTTATCTTGCAAAATTTTCTACCTTTAGCATTTCTGAGGAATTCATTTTGGTCCAAACTGACTTGGCAGATACATGGTCCTCCCTCAGCACAGCAGTTGCTGGTGCTTCCTGAGTTTTTTGGTTTGAGGGTGAGAAAGATGAAGGGTTGTGAAAATTCTGCCTTGTGATTATGACAAAGATCAAATCATAAAGTGCCCAAACCCTCTGTTTATAATTTTACCTTTATTTTTCTAGACCATTTACCAAGCCACCTGAAATTTGCTTTGTTTTAAATTATTATTATTATTATTTACTGTTAATTTTGTGCTTTATTTCTTTAAACTTTGGCATTTTTATACAGTTGGTAATATTTTATTATGTCATTGTTTTGTGTGTCTAAGCATTTATTTTATGTGATATTTTCTTGCAGATTTATTTATTTGCTCTTTTTGAGTTGCATTCCAGTAGTATCTAAGGTTCACAAAAACAAGGAATTGTCTGCATTTTACTGCATTTTATATTGAGCGCTTAGGTACTAGCATATAGTAGGTATTCAATAAATATTCTGACATAAATAAATCCTATAGACACTACTTTGTATGCTTTTCCATTTAGTGTCATGTCATAAAAATGTAATCATATAATTAAAAGTCTTCTAAAATACTACGTAGGTCATTGCATAATAATTTATAGAGCTAACATAATTTGCTTTAAATCAATTCCTTCATCTGGCTGATTTAGTTGCTTCTGTGTTACATAAAATAACACTAAGGGAACATCTTCGTGTATAAATCTTTGTCCACATTTGTGTTCATTCCATATTACTATATTACTAGAAGAATTATTAGTAACATTGATTTAAGTAATTTAATAACATATAATGACAACAAAAGTATTCCAATTTATAATTTTTAAATATAAATTTTAAAAGGGCCCTTTTTCTCTTAGAATTTGATTCTTAATGCTATTTTCTTCTCATTTTGTATTTACACCCCTTAGCAATCCCATCGAATGCTCTTCTATTCTTGTCCTTCAGTTCCAGCGAGGGCTACTTTATGACCTCTGCTCCAGGCTGTAACTCTGCATTTGCTAGATATCTGGAGGTTCCCCAGGTACCTCAAGATCGCCATCTCCAAAAGTGTAATTGTTATTTTTCTATCAAAACCTGCTCCTTGCTGTTCTATTCCCTTTTGAGATAAATGAAGGTAAAATCTTTTCAGCACTCAAGCTGGAATTGTGGGAGTGATAGTTCCTCCCTTTCCTCTGGATCCATAGCTAGTTTGTATATACCCTTCAGCTCCTGCGCTCCTGGCTGCTGCCTTGGCCTAAACTTACTACCATCTCCTTCCTGGACTGTTGTATTACTGCCCTGTCCTAGCTCCTGTTTCACTTCCCCCAAGTATGTCATTCATACTGTCAGAGTTACCTCCCTGGAACGCCTGTCTTCTATTCTTTTTCTAAGTAAATTCACTTCCTTTCCGACTGTCCCAGTTGCTTGTAGATCCTCCTTGTTTAACCAGGGGCTCTGTGTGTTCTGCCTGTCCTCCGTGTCTGCCTTCGGTCATTTCTTAGGGATTTTTCTTTCTTCTTCTTGAGTATCTTGAGCTCTTGGAGCTCCATGTGTATATCTTCCTCATCTACTCCTCTGTGGCTGCTCTCTGGCAGACTCTTTGCCTAGAATACTGTCCCTCACTTGTTCATTTAACATTCATCTTCAGATTCAGCTCTGGGAAGTCTTTCTTTACCTACCATTTTTCAACAACAACTTCCTTTTCTGTATAACCACTAGCAGTATATAAGTACCTCGGTAACATAGTCTTCAACATCATTTGTTGGTAATATTTATGTGTAGGTTTGTATCACAGATAGTATGATTGAGTGTTATTTATCTTTGATCCCATGGCACTTAACATAAAGACTTGAAGAAAACATTGAACAATTGTTATTTGAACAAAGGAATATCTCAGTAGGAACATACTTTGACTTGATGTCTTTTAGGTGTTCTTTCTTGCTGTTTCTGTCTGATACTGTTTCCATTCAGTCTGAAGAACTTCAGCATCTTTTAAAATATGGATCTGCTCAGCTTTGGCTTATCAGAAAATGTCTTTATTTTGCCTTCCTTTTTAAAAACTTTTATTTTTAAATAGTAATAGTCTCCTAGAAAATGGCAAAAGAATTTCAGAGTCCCATGTACCCTTGTACAGCTTCCCCAAGGGTGACATCTTTTATAGCTTGTAGCACAATACCAAAACCAAGAAATTGATACTGGTATGTACCAATGATCTTATTCACTGTTCCCTGTATTTTAAACTGCAGTTATGTGTGTGAGAGTGTGTAAAGTTCTCTGCAGTTTTAGCACGTGTAGATTCATAACCACTGCCACCATCAAGATACAGTACTGTTCCATCACAAAATCTCCCTTGTGCAATTTCTTTGTACTCTCAGTCATCCTATTCCTTGTCCCTGGCCCCTGTTGTTCATCTCTATTAGCTGTATCATTTTCAGAATGTTTTATACATGAAATCATACCATATTTAACCTTTTGCTATTTACTTTTTTCACTAAGCAAAATGTCCTTGAGGTCTGTGCAGGTTGTGTATGTATCAGTAGTTCATTCCTTTGTATTGCTGAACAGTTTACAATTGTATGGATATACCAGAGTTGGTTCAACAGTCCATGCAAACAACATTTGCATTGTTTCTGCTATTTTGCTATTATGAGTAAAGCTGCTATGGACATTTGTGTACAGGTTTTTGTATGAATATATTTTCTCTGGGATAAATATCTATGAATGTGATTATTGGCAAGTGAATCTTTAGTTTTATAAGAACCTGTTTGGAAAAAGCAGCTTGGAAAAACCAAACTGTTTTCCAGAGTGGCTGTACTATTTTACATTTCACCAGCAATGTATGAGTGATCTGTTTTCTTTGCATCCTCACCAGACTTTAGTATTATCACTGTTTATTTTAACTGTTCTAACCTGTATGTAATGATGTCTCATTGTGGTGTTAATTTGCATTCCTCTAATGCCTAATAATGTTGACCATCTTTTTATCTGCTTATTTGCCATCTATATGTCCTCTTTGGTGAAATGTTTCTTTCTTTTTTCTTTTTTTGCACATTTTATAATTGGATTGTTTCCTTCTTTAAACAAATGCTTAGTTTTGAGAGTTCTCGCTCTAGTTTTTTTAATTGAAGAATCTTATAGGACAGTCATTTTTCCCACACCTCAGCATTCTAAACATGTCAGTCCATTGTATTCTGACTTTAATTATTTTTGATAAAATTTAGCCTTCTTAAATGTTGCCCTTATTGCAGTTTTCTGCAAGTCATATGTCTCATTTTCCTCTGATTGCTTTGAGTATTTTCTCTTTGTCTTTGGTTTTTAGCACTTTGGCTATGATATACCTAGGTGTGATTTTTCTTTGTATTTATCATCTTTGGGTTTAGTGAGCTTTTTTGGATCTATGGGTTGATGTCCTTCATTACATTTGCAAAAATATCAGATTATTATTTCTTAAGATATTTCTTTTATCCAGTTCTCTCCTTGCCTTCTGGGACTCCAATATATTCAAGCCATTTATTATTTCTCAGCTCTTGGGCAGTTTCCTTGTTTGTTTTCCATTTCCCTCTCTCTCTGCAACTCATAGAACCACCTTCTTCTATGTCCAATTTTCTGTGAAGCTCACTGAATGAATTCTTTCCTTCCGAAATTGTAATTTCTATTTCTAGCTTTTCTATTTATCTATTTAATTATTTTATTCTGATCAGATCCTTCACTGTTCATGTTTATCTCCTCCTCTTTCTCACTAGGTCCTTTAGTACATTTATCATAATTGTGTCTACTGGTTTGCAGCATCAGGGTCATAGATGGATATTACCTCTGTTGACTTTTTAAAAATAGATCATGTTTGTTTCCTCCTTGTGTTCCATTATTTCTATTTATTATTACTATTTTTTTTGAGACATCTCGCTCTATCGCCCAGGCTGGAGTGCAGTGGCACTATCTCATCCCACTGCAATCTCTGTCTCCCAGGTTTAAGCCATTTTCCTGCCTCAGCCTCCTGAGTAGTCGGAATTACAAGCATGTGCCACCATGCCCGGCTAATTTTTTGTATTTTTAGTAGAGATGGGATTTCGCCATGTTGGCCAGGCTGATTTTGAACTCCTGGCTTCAAGTGATCTGCCCACCTGGGCCTCCCAAAGTGCTAGGATTACAAGTGTGAGCCACTACACCCAGCCCCATAATTTTTTTATTCTATGCTGGACATTAAGAACAGTAAAGACTGAGGAATATCTACCCCAGCAAAGGGCTTGCTCCTCCTTTTGTCACACTGTTAATGTTGGGGACCGAGCTGGATCTGGGCTTTGAAGTGGCATTAGTTAGCATCGGTTCACCATTGGATTCACATAGTTTGAGAGTGGGATCACGAACTGGTTTTCAGCAGTTTTCACTCCGAAGCCCAGTAAGATCTTGGAAATCTCTTTATGCTTCAGAGCTAAGCTGCCAACTTTCTGAATGGTGGGAGATTTCTCTTTGTTTACAGCTTGGCTGCTAGCCTTTCTGGACACTGGTGAGTTCTTTTTACTCTTCATGGCTTTTGGCTCCTCAGAAGGTCTCTCTTTGCCTTGCTCTTCCTTATTTTATTTATTTATTATTATTATTTTTGAGATGGAGTCTTACTCTGTTGCCCAGACTGGAGTACACTGGTGTGATCTTGGATCACTGCAACCTCCGTCTCCGGGGTTCAAGCAATTCTTCTGCCTCAGTCTCCTGAGTAGCTGAGATTACAGGCACATGCTACCATGCCCGGCTAATTTTTGTATTTTTAGTAGAGATGGGGTTTTGCTATGTTGGTCTCAAACTCCTGACCTCAGGTGATCCATCCTGTTCCTCTTCTTGTGGTTTTTTTTTTTTTTTTTTTTTTTTTTTTTTTTTTTTTTTTTTTTTTTGAGAGGGAGTCTTGCTCTGTTGCCCAGGCTGGATTATGGTGGCATGATCTCGGCTCACTGCAACCTCCCCCTCCCGGGTTCAAACAATTCTCCTGCCTCAGCCTCCAGTGAAGCTGGGATTACAGGTGCCTGCCACCATGCCCAGCTAATTTTTTATATTTTTAGTAGAGACCCTAAAAGCTGATTTCTGTCCCCTTACTTGCCTTCCTCCTGGTGCCAGGCTGCTGCTCTGCATCTAGGGACTTGACAGGTGCCTGACATAGGGGCTGTCTCAAGCCCTCCTGCCCAAGCACCTTGTGCACTACCCATGTGCATTTGATTAAGACCCACAGCAAAGAGTTGGCTGGCAAGTGGATGCAGATTTGCTGTGCTTTGGGGCTCTTGGAGATTCTAATCTATCATTTCAGCTGACATGGAGACATTAAAAGTTTAACAGTTCAGCCGGTATCTTCTTACCCCTATCTTTGGCAGATTCTTTGTCTTTCTACCACTTTGCCACTGATGAAAACAGCTGTGGATTACTAATTTTCATACGAAGGCCTTCTTGATATCTAGTATTTACTTACTGTAGGTTTGTGTTCTACACTTTCTAAATCCTGGGGCAAATTGTCTCTGTGTAATGTTATAGAATGGAGGTTACAGTCATCCCATGGGATTTGATTCATTGAGACAAAATGGACAAAATATTTCCAAAAAGCATCATTTCTAAGTAGATTGGGGAGTTCAAAGCTTGGCTTTGCCACTTAGAGCTTTGTGGTGGTATTCAATCACCTACTCTGTGAAAGTACTCCTTTGTTAATTGGAGGTTGTAACACCCACCTCTTTCATCCTCTTTGGGCTCTGAATACTAAATGATGCAGAAGTACACAGTAAACTTCCCAGGGCTTGAATGGTTTGCCTAGAATTACTATAGGACAATATTTTGAGATTTACCTTTAATGGTAGAGTGGGCAGTAAGGTGAGTGGGAAGAATACATGATGGCTTTACATTTCCTGAGTTGTCTTTACAGAAAGATTATTATTTCATTTCAAATAAAAGGCGCAGGCTAGTAGTTAAAAGCATGGTCCTTGAAGACAGGTTTTCTAGGTTTGACTTTCAACTCTATTATTTACTGTATGACCTAGGGCAAGCCACTTCACTTCTCTGTTTCTTAGTTCCCTTGTTTATAAAGTGATGATACTAATAGTTACTGCTTCACAGGCTTGCTGTGAGGACCAAGTGAGAGGCTAAGAACGTAAAGCAGAGTTCTGACTTAGCATGGCAGGCTCAGTAACAGTGAAGTACATTGCTTCTCATTTTTTCCTTTCTAGATGCCCTCATGTCAGGGCAGAGACAATCCTGGTTAGCTTTTCATCCCAGCAGAGAATTCAGATACAAATCCTGATTAAAAAGGTGTTTTTATGTAAAATATTTCACAATGCCCATGGGAGCTGGGGCATCTGTTCTGTTGTTGGTTGGTTAGTATTGAAGGCCAGATGTTTCCGCTCCTCTTTCATGACTTTAATCTCCTTGTGTTGTACTCATCACCAAAAGATGAACAGGAGCATCCGCTCTGCATTACTGTACTTATTACCTCCAAGAAGAAACACTGTTGCAGCAGTGTTGAATGTTAATGTCTGTTCTCTACACATCCTCGCTCCACCTCTCCACTTCCATCTTCCCTCCTTTCCTTAGTTGTAGGAACATGGTATATAGAGGGGGTGATTGCTTTCTTTGTGGCAGGGTAGAGATGATTAGCAATTTGGTCTCTTAGGTTGAAAATGCTTCAATTTATAGGTTATGTAGTAGATAGAGCCATACTATGTTGAAATCTCATGGGTTTGTGGGTTTATATAATGTCTTTTCAGCATTTTTAGGTGCAATAACATTCATCTGCTTTCAAATGGATTTTAAATGATTACTTTTGTATTAAGATTTGGGATCGTTAAGTTTAAGCATATTGATAAAAAATGGTATTTAATCTGTGTATTTGGTATGTGAATTATGTAGCAGGTATTTTAGGAAATTTCCATGGAATTCCATTTATGTCAGCAGTTGTGAAGGGAGAAGAGAATATTGTAGATGTAACTTGCTGGAGTGCCTTTAATTTTAATTCTGTTGACTTTCCCTGTGTATAGGTTTATTGCCACTTATATTTCTTCAGTTTATATGTGGAGTCTATAGTCATTTAATCATTATTCCTGTGCCCAAATGTTCTACAGAGATGAGGCTTTCCTTTGGGCTCTTCTGGATTTTGAAAGAAGCATTTTGTCACTGGAATGTAGATGATGGTAGATGATGGAGCGAATTGGGCAGAATCTGGATCTTGATACCCTCCTGCCTTCAGGGTTGACAGACTCAGCTGGCATTTCATGCAGAATTCAAATTATTAACAGAAAACTCTCCAAAAGTAAATGAAGCTTTAGTTAAATAAAATAAACATGAGTATTTCAGATATCAGAATATCTACTGTTTGGAATATCTACATTCCTGTACTCTTTCAGTGAGTACGGGATTGGCCATTATTATCTTTATTTGTAGAAATCAAAGAGGAGCTCGGTCAGGCATATTTGATCTATTGGCCACTGGCCACAAGGATGAGGTTTGTCATTTGGAGACAGATCAGAGCTGCCACCGTAACCTCAAAGAGTGAGGATGTGGCCTGTCATCTGCATACACTCTTTTTGCCAAGAGTGGGCTGAGTATAGCTGCCAGATTGTGGTGATTGTGCTTGTCTGCCAACAGTGCATGTTTTAGTAGTCGAGGAATAATAACTACCATTTATTAAACGCCTCTGCTATCTTGCTATGTTCTTTACCCATAAGACTTCATCCACCCCTTCACATTTTAAGGGGCGGTATGATTAGCCTTATTTTTTATAAAAGGAGAGCTTAAGACTCAAACAGTAATAACTCTTTCAAGGTCCAGAGCTTTTCGATGGTACCTCCAGGCTGGCACTCAGATCGCTGACCCCCACACCTCCGATCTTTCTCTTTACCATGCAGCCTCTGGTCCTCAGAAAATGTTTCCTACAGGATTATATTGGATGACTCTAATTAAATGATTACTGCTACTTAATTAATTGGGAATAGAATTTGATGCTAGAAATGTTTTTGGCAATAATGAGTTACTTTCTAGGTGACTGAACTTTTACATTTATTTCTAGGAGGTCATTTTTTCCTTGTTTTTTGTTTGTCTCATAAATTATTGTATTCTTGTTGCATGATGGTGGGCAATTTAGTTCCCTGATTGCATTAGATACAGCATGAGTAGGTTTTGACTAGAGGCTCAGGAGCTTTGAATGTAGACATGTTGTAAAATGTTATTGCTGTGTTTCTCAGTCTTGTTTGAACACATAGGATCCCCTGTGGGTAGAGGTTTATGAATGTCTTTGTTATACTTTATCCTCAGAGAGAGAAAAAGGAAAACTGAAGTTATTTGTTGAATCGCACATGGAATCTTTATGTCAGTTTAGTATTATAGAGGTAACTTTGAAATACAGTTTGATTTTGGAGTATTTAAAAATTGTCGTGGTAATAATTAAAAAAACCTTTGGAATGCAGTATTTACATCTTGCTATTTCTGTTTGATAATGTACAGATTTCTGTGTACTGTGTGCACTTACATAATGATTTTCATTATTTGTCCAAATGTGAGATTCAACATATTTAATGAAACTAAGTGGTAATCCTGATTTGGTTATGATCTAACCTGTTGGTATCCAACAGATTGCTGACTGTGTGGTATTTTAATTTAGGATATTTGTCACCTGATTTTTAAGTCTGAGCTTGAAGAGGAAGGAGATAAGGGCCCATGGGGAGTTAAGAGTAACTGCTGTTGGTACCTCTGTTAAATTTGTCTTTCTCCTGAAATAGCTGTGGAAGTGCAGCACTCCAGGTATAAGCTGAAGATAAAAAAAACAGCACTATCCTCCTTCTGGCCAGTTGTAGAAGGCTCCACAGTTCCTTGTGTTGGGGCCCATATGGTACCTTTTGTAGGGATTGGACTGTAGTCGATGAGAGGACATATTAGAAAATCCGGATTGAGAGAGCAAGGTGAGGCTGGAAGTTAAAGGTGTTCCAGCACCTGAACAGGTGCCAGGTGAATATTCAGGAATCAAGGTGAGTCAAATCAAGGAAGTAAAAACATGGATAACTAGTTGGTCAGTTGAGCAGATACTCAGGAGGCAATATGAAATCAGAGACCAGGGATGGGATATAGGCATGGGAAAAAGGCAGAGACTCAAACCAGTAAAGGGTGTAAGGCAACTTTAAGCACAGTTAAGAAAACCCTTTTTCGGCTGTGCACGGTGGTTCACACCTATAATCTCAGCATATGGGAGCCTGGGCGGCATAGTGAGAGACCCTGTGTCTCTCTACTAAAAATATTTATGAAAAACTTTAAAAAAGGAAAACATCTTTTATACTTATTTATGATGGCCTGTGAACAACTTCAAGGATTTTCTGGTTGGTGACGGGGTGGTGGGGCCAAAGGTAAGGATAATGCCCTGGTTTGGTTGCTGAAGTTAGGGAAAGAAAGATATTTGTCTACTAGATTATTCTTAGGTGGCATCATAAACAGTAATTTAATGCATATGTACATAATAAGGCTTCTGATTGAGTTGCGAAGACAGAATATAGGCCTGTGAAGGTAAATCCCATTG